ATATACACATAATTAGAGATTATATTAACCATAGCAAATTATAATTTTAATTGTAATTTTGCATTCTATAAAAATAATAAATACTTGACCAATGGAAGCTCAAAAATATTATTATATTAAATAATTTAAATATTTTAATTTTTCTATTTTTTATTTATATTTATAATAACATAATTTTTTTCCATGCATTGCGCGGGTGAATTACTAGTAATAATAATAATAATAATAATAATAATAATAATAATAATAATAATAATAATAATAACAATAATAATAATAACAATAATAATGAAATACATATATGTTTATATAATCAAATATACATATGTGTGTGTGTGTGTGTGTGTATTAAGGAATAAGGTTCAAATTGACCACTGAACGTAACTTGAGGCCACTCAACAAAAAAAAAAAGTGTAATTAGGTCATTGAACACTCAAAAAAGTGCAATTAGGCCACTGAACTCTCCAAACGTATGCAATTTTACCGGATAGCAGGTTACCATCAATTTTAGCAGGTTACCTGCTTACGTGGCAGCTTAATTGGCATTTTTAATAATTTTTAAATAATTTTTAATAATTAATTTAATAATAAATTTGATAAAAAATTGGAAAAAATTAAATAAAAAATAAAAAATAAAAAGTCGTTTTTATTTTTAAAAAAAATTTTAATAAAAAGTTATTATTAAAATTTATTAAAAATTAATTAAAATTTATTTAAAATGTTAACTCAGCTGCCACGTAAGCAGATAACCTGCTAAAATTGAGGGTAACCTGTTATCAGGTGAAATTGCACATTTTTGGAGTGTTCAGTGGCCTAATTGCACTTTTTTTTCGTTCAGTGGCCTAATTGCATTTTCAGGTTACGTTCAGTGGCCAATTTGAACCTTATTCCATATATTAATATTTAAGCATTGATATACATTTATACATATAAATAAATAAATAAATAAACACACACACACACACACACACACACACACACACACACACACACATATATATATATATATATATATATATATATATATATATATATATTATTGAGGATGTTATAGTAAATTGATCCATATAACCTAAAATATAACACTTAACTAAACAAGGCAATATTATATTCCACAATCCAAACCAAACACATAAGGTAATCCTAAGATTCCATGAACCAAACGTCCCATTAGGGTTATGGTCAATTTCTTTATTCTCCTGAAAGGTTGAACCCCCAACCCCAAGGGCTTCTCATATCCCGGCACGACAAAACATTTGGTAAGATGTAAATCATTGTGACTCAATGGATCAGCATATAGGACCAAATGTCGATGCACACAACGGATCTACTCACTTTGGGTACAATCCCACATTACCGCCGCCGAGGCTCGAACCTGGGTCTCTTCTCTCAAATACTGTCTACTGAATTATTCTCAAATACTGTCTACTGAATTATTGAGTTAAACCCAGGCGGACAATGATCAATTTTTTATTATCACGAAATGTGGATAAATAATAATAATAATAATAATAATAATAATAATAATAATAATAATAATTTGAGGTACCTCAAGTCTTTTTCATCTTCAATAATCTCCCTCGACATAAATTACACTTTTGTCTCTTCTTCAATTTACTGTTCCTATAATAATAGTATATATGGTATGTATGGTCGAGCTTTAATTTCTCAACCTAAGAGAGAAATTGAAAAATAAAATAAGATTTTTTTTTTTTTTGTATTTTATTGAAACTTAATAATTTATCTCTTGATTTTGGCTATCAAATTGATCGAAAATCTTGATTGTTTTAAACTTTTAGCGTCATTATTGGATACTTGGATGGTTTTAAGGTGTGGCATATGATAATTACAACTTTAATTTGCTTTCGAATTTGACAGCCGGCAAATGAATTTGGTAACCAAAGATTGGTAAAATTTCAACAATCAATGGTTAATTGTGTTCAATTTTAAAATTAATAACTGATTTTTAAAATCATTATTCAAAAGACTTTTAGTTAAATTATATTTTAAACTTTAATTTAAGAAAAAGTGTTCAATCACTATCTAAAGGTGCCCCCTAGATGAAGTCTGTTTTGTGGCTCTAATGGATAATTGATTATAATGAGGTAAACCAGTTTAGCTTCCCATAGTTAATTGGCTCAAATCAATAAAGTCAATAGACAACTGTCACATAACAGTAATGCAACTTATTACGTGTAACAATGCAACGCAACTTGGCATGCAAAGTAGAAGTGCCATAAAATATATTGTCTTTCTTTTATCAACAAAGAAAACGAAAATCTTGAAATAAACTATGACAATTTAGAGCAAGATGCCTATCTTGAACACGTAATATAATGCCCAATCAATCCTCTCAAAAAAATATGATGAAGAGTTAATGGACAAATTACTACAATGAAGTAAATTCGTTTAGGTAGCTGACTGACTCAAACTGAAAAGATTAATAGACAATTCTCACATTGCAACATAACTAAATTACATGTAATTAACAATTAACAACGCAACAGGACTTGGCATGCATAGTAGAAGTGCCATAAAATATTTATATTGTTTTTCTTTTATCAACAAGGATAAAGAAAATCTCAAAAGGAACTATGACAATTCAGAGCAATATATATATCTTGAACGAGTAACAATCAATCATGCATCTCAAAAACTATAATGAAGATCCAATTGAGGTGTCTCAATAAATTGAATTGCAATTCCTGAGCATGCAAAGTGAAATATCTAGTCAAGTAATCTTTAATTTCATATTGTTTTACTTACGGTATAGTAGACTAGTAGAGGGATAAAAAATGTATATTGTTTTGATTTTATATATAGTGTGATATTGAATTGCATGGGCTCGTGCAATGATTGGATAAGGTATGGCTGGGCTTTATACATTTGGATATTTCATTAGATGGAGTGCATCCATGACACATACACTAGCTAGCAATATAAACAACATTAATGTCCACCAAATGCAGTGCGGATTTCTAAATTTTTGTGGCCCCGTTCTTATAAATAAATAAGGCCCTATTAAAAGAGCACAATCTTTAAAACTAGTACTATAAAATATATATTTTTTCAAATAAGTATGAATAGTGTAACACTAGTTGAATGCAAAAATAACAGCTCTTACTATGAAATATATAATTTTTATTTTAAATAAGTATAAACAATGTAAATATTAGGCCCTCTAAAAATTGAGGCCCTGTGCGGTTGCCCATGTTGCACGCCCTAAAATCCGGCCCTGACCAAATGACGACACTCATCAAAGGTTTTTGACATTTTTCTCTTTTTCTTCTCTCAAAAAGTTGAATCTTCAATCTTAAAGGCCCCACATCCTGACCCGATAGAACATTTGGAAAGAGGTAAATTACGGTGTTTCAATGGCTCATCAAACATGGCCAAATGCCGATGCGTATAAGGGATCTGTCCACTTTAGACATAATCCCCACATTCCGTCGTCAAAATTCGACCATTGGTCTCTTATTCTAAATATATGCCTACCTGAACCATTGAACTAAGCTCATGCTAGCATTTTTCTCTTTTTCTTTATTTTTGGAAGGTTGTCATTTCACTGTAATATGAAAGCAATATAATGTTAAGGATATATGTGGGTGACATATTTCATCTCTGTATCTATATATTCTAATTATGCTCTTATAGAATAGCTATGTTAAACTAATTCTTGTAATTTCATGCTACTTACTCTCATTTGTGTACTATTTATAGTTAGCTGTTTTATATCAATAAACACATACTCCATTCCCTCACATATAATAATTATAATCTAAACATAAATTTAAGGGATAAGGGTCAAATAGACCCTTAAACTATAGGCCAAAGTGCAATTAGGCCCTTAAACTAACAAAAGCTTCAATTAGACCCTTTATCTTTTCATTTTTGTGCAATTAGGTTAATTAGAAGGTTACATTAAAGTTGCAGGTAATTTTTTTTTAAAAAATAAAAATAAAATAATATCTTTTTTAATTCAAATAAAAAATAAAAAAATAAAGAAATTAAAAAAAAAAAAAAAAAAAAAAAACAGGCTTCTCCGTCAAACTAGACGGAGAAGTCGGCGGAGAAACTGCCATGGCTGGCTTCTCCGGCCAGTTGACGGAGAAGCCGACCATGGCTTCTTCGCCCAGTTGACGGAGAAGCCGGTCATGGCTTCTCCGTCAAACTGGACGGAAAAGTCGGCCATGGCTCTCCGTCAAACTGGACAGAGATACCAGACATGGCTTCTCCGTCCAGTTTGACGGAGAAGTCGGCCATGGATTCTAAGCCCAGTTGACGGAGAAGCCGGCCATGGCTCTCCGTCAAACTGGACGGAGAAGCTGGCAATGGCTTCTCAGTCCAGTCGACGGAGAATGGGCCGGCTTCTCCGTCAAACTGGACGGAGATGCCAGCCATGGCTTCTCCGTCCAGTTTGACGGGAAGCCGGCCATGGCTTCTCCGTCAACTGGACGTAATTTGTTTTTTTTTTTATTATTATTTTATTTAGTTTTAGTTTTAGTTTTAGTTTTAGTTTTTTTGTTTTTTTTTTAAAAAAAAAAAAATCAATTTGACCTACTATTACCTTATGTTTACCTTCAAATTAAGCTAATTGCACAAATTTAGAAAGTTATGGACTTAATTGCATACAAGTAAACAGATGAAGGGGTTAATTGGAGCTTTTGTTAGTTCAAGGGGCTAATTGCACTCTGTCTTATAGTTGAAGGGTCTATTTGACTCTTATCCCTAAATTTAATTTATTTCTTATATTTTTAGCAAAACGGTAAATTAACCATTTGTTAAAAAGTTATTAACTAAATTTACATTACAGATAACCAATGAACTAAATTTACTAAAGAATTAAAATAGTGTCTTTGTCATCTTATATATAATGTGTGTGTGTTTCTCATTAAAATCTTTTAACCGTGTGATGTCACAATTCATAATCACAAACATACCCCTCCCTCTCCCTATATAAACTCCGGCGCCATTATTCCAAAAGACTTCAATTCCAACTTTGATCGGATCGGAGGCTTCATATATATTTCTTCCGTGAATTGCATTTTGGTCTATCCGTCTGCTCTCTCTTCGATTATCTTCTCATCTTCAATTCCTTCATCATATCGGCAACCAAAACTGGCTAACTCTCAGGAAGAAAGCAGAAACAAGGCGGTGGTGATCGCCCTATATGAAGCGCTGAGCTCACGCGACGTGGAAAAAGTCCAGAAGCTTCTGGCCTCCGATCTGGAGTGGTGGTTCCATGGCCCGCCGTCGCACCAGTTTTTGATGCGCATCCTCACCGGCACTGTCGACGACTCCACCGCCGATTCGTTGTTCCAGTTCAAGCACCAGACGATCGACGCCATCGGCTCCTCCGTGGTGCTCGTCGAAGGCTGCGATCCGCCGCGCAACATCACCTGGGTTCACGCCTGGACCGTCACGGATGGGATAATTACCCAGGTCCGCGAGTACTTCAACACCTACCTCACCGTCACGCGCTTCAGCGACGCCGCCATTGCTCCGCTCTCCTGCACTTCCGTCTGGGAGAGCAGCCTCCCTAATCGCGGCGGGAGCAAATCTGTGCCGGGTCTCGTCCTTGCCATCTAAGGCGGGTGGGTCACACCCGACCCGTTGTTCCACCTGTAGTACGTGAAGTACAACACTAGAAGGCATGCGACTTTTTTCCGCATGTGCAGAAGAAGGAGAACTGCAGGCGTCTGCATTTGTCAGTTGTACTGTTTGGCTTTATGGTTGTGTTTGTTTCGTCTGTAGTGATGTGTTTGGCTTGCAATAAAATCGTTTCGTTTCGTTTCATTGGATAATTAGTAATCTACACATGAAAAGATTTGAACGATCAAAAAAATGCAAAAACATATAACACTCAGATTCTGAACCTCTACGAATTATGGTACTTCGCTTAGGTGAGACCACAATTTTTTTAACCAAAAAAAAAAAAAAAAAAACTTCATTACATTTTGGGTGCACAATCAATTTGATTTTTTTTTTTTGTTATAAAAATTCTATATTCTCTCCGTCTCATTTTATGTACAAGATATGAGAATTGTGTGATAGACTAATATAAAAAGGATATTGACAAGAATTGAACTTGTAATTTTCTAATATGAAATTATATTGCACCCATTTACTTAGATAAAGTAATCATGTTAATGTTGTATGAAGAATTGTCGACAACAAAGTTTTGGGTGACTTCAATGCAATTTTGACTTGTATTATAGTTGATAACAAATTTTTTTTGTTGCGCATTTTCTAAACATATTGGTGCATTTTTACATACCTAATGGTCGATCGCACATTAAGGCCTGACTACATTTGGGCTGACACACACACACATATATATATAAGTTTAATTAAGATTTCAAACTTAGCTTATTAGTGCTAGGTTCGTTGATCTGACGTACTTTAAATATCTAGATCATGTAAGTTTAAGATTTTGAACTTATTAGTGGCTGGTATTTAGTAAGATATTTAATGTACAATAAAATGATTGATTTTGTATATTTCTTTTTAGCAATTAAGACTTAAATTTGTATCAGTGTCATAAGTTGGAAAAAATCAAATTGCTTTAAGTTGGAAAAAATCAAATTGCTTGCCAAATGAATACCCAAGCAAAGGTGTTGTAAGCATGATCCTAATAGGATTCAAAATATGATTTTGGGCATGTTTGGTTATTGGCGGATCCGTCAAAATTTTGGCGGATCCATCGACTTTGGCGTTTTGACCACGATCAAAACGCCAAAGTCATTGTTTGGTTAATAGCGGTTTGGAGCAGCAAATTGCTCCAAACCGCTGATTTTAGAAACGCTGCATATAGCAGCGTTTCTCTTTGGCGTTTTGGGCAAAAGCCCAAAACGCCCTTATATATTAAAAAAAAAAAAAATTAACGTTGTTGTTGTTAATTAAAATGAGAAGCCTCAGGCTTCATTAATAATGAAGCCTGAGGCTTCTAATTCCCTGCCCTGGGATGCAAATTGGGGCGTTGAGCTCCCCTTTTAATGAGGGAGCTCAAGGTCCTTTTTTTATTTATTTGTTGTCAATGTGGGATCAGATTTGATCCCACATCACATTTCTCTCTCTCTCTCTCTCTCTCTCTTTTTTTTTAATTTTAAAATTTTGATTATTATTATTCTTAATTAATAATAATAATACTTATTATTATTATTATTATTATTATTATTATTATTATTATTATATGTATACTCTTTTGGTCATTTTACATGTTAACCGCTAATCTAAACCGCTAATTTTACCAAACATCTTTTTACAGACCGCTGATATAAACCGCTGGTCAAACCCACTAACACAATCCGCTATTTGTTAACCGCTAACACAATCTGCTAACGCTAACCGCTAACCGCTATTTGCCAAACAAGGCCTATGTCCTCAAGTAAAAGTCAAATTTAATTTACACTACCAGGTGCCATAAAATTAAAGATTTTGAACTTAATTTGCTAAAAGGATCTAACTTTGCAGACAAATTACTAAAAGACTTAATTTCCAAAATGGTTCTCCGACTATGGTCTTTTCTCAAATTGATCCCTTGATTTCTAATTTTTCTAAAGTGGTCATCTGACTTTTGAATTTTAAACCAAAATGGTCATCCATTTATGGATGAAGTTGAAGATGAACTTTTTTGACCTTCTAGTTGATTATCCCACATTTTGATTGCAGATTTAGGAGAGCAAAAACCTAATTTGAAGAAATATGTGCACATATTGCGCAAAGGAATCACAGATTACTTTAAATTAGAGTGAAAAACTTAAATTTTCAATTTTACCCTTCATTTTAACACCAACTTAATGCCAAAGCTAACGGAAGACCATTTTGGCTTAAAATTCAAAAGTAAGAGGATCATTTTGAAGAAATTAAAAATTAAGGGACCAATTTAAGAAAAGACTATAGTCAGATGATTAATATTGTCTCAACATAATGAAACATAAAGAATTAACAATACCTTCAATGAGACTCGATCTCATAACCTTCCACTGAAACTCAATTTCATAACCTCTCATATGAGATAGATTACTATATATTATCTGAGTACAAAGTACTTGACGAAATTAGTCTAAGTATAGTGAGGGCGGTTTGGGATTGGTCGCGTATATTGACAGCCTGGGACGTAAACGTCAAACGTTTGCCGCCCCAAATGAACGGACGATAATGTGGCAGGGGTCAGAAAAAGGAGGAAACTAAAGTCCCTTTTAACAAAGTGAAGAGATGGCCATCCAGCACGCTCCATATATATAATATAATATATGAATTGAAAAATTAAAGCAGAGAATCCAATACCCCCAATTCACACCGCCCACCTTATATACACCCCACCTGAGCATCGCTCAGAAATTACACTAATTTTCATTCTTGCTTCCCAACTCCAGTTAGCTCAAGCTCCATGGCTAATGTAAGTTCCCGTACGTGCTTACAATTACCATTTTATTTGATCGATCTTTTTAATTTCTTGATTTCAATTTAGACGGTGGAGTTGAAGGTGAATTTGCACTGCGACGAATGCATTAGGAAAATCCTGAAAGCCATCAAGAAAATTGAAGGTAATTAATTTATATGAACATTAACCACCCCAAATTAAAAGATTTCTTGGTCTGATGATCTGAATTTCCATTCCATGATTATGGCCGGGATGACAGACATTGAAACATACGATGTTGACAAGAAGCTAAACAAGGTGATGGTCACTGGGAAGGTGACCAATGAAGAGGTGGTCAAAGCTCTTCATAAAATCGGGAAGCAAGCTAGCAGCTGGGGAGAGGAATAAACGCATACCATATATACATATATGTTTAATCTTTTTTTAAAATATAAATTAGTTTGGTTCTGTTAGAGTAAATGATTTTATTGGAGGTCATGTATATGTAGTACTTTATTTAATTTCTGAGTGAAATTTAATTACCAATATAATAAGGTTGGGTTTTGAGGATCGATTTAGGGCCTTTAAAGACATGTTATGTGAATTGTAAGGTTGACGTTTTAGAGTGATGACTTTAGGTTGTTGAGGACAAACACATTCTCCAACAGGTTTCCTCATTAGTTGTAAAGAAGGCAAAAAGATGTATTTTTTCTTCCCAAAAGGTTGAATCTCCAATTCTAAGGGCTTCTACACCCCGACCCGACAGAGCATCTAAGAGAATGCCACGAAGAGTAGATCCCCTCACTTTGAGAGGTTGCTTCCACACTGGGTAGGACCCGACAGAGCATCTAAGAGAATGCCACGGAGACTAGACCCCCTCACTTTGAGAGGTTGCTCCCACACTGGGTAGGACCCGACACTTGAGAGGTTGCTCCCACACTGGGTAGGACTCGACAGAACATCTAAGAGAATGCCACGGAGACTAGACCCCCTCACTTTGAGAGGTTGCTCCCACACTGGGTGAGACTCGGCTAGACCCCCTCACTGGGTGAGACTCGATCCCTGGTCATTCTTCCCAAACTTCACTTCTATGACCAGTTGAGTTGTCCATACAAGCACAAAAAGATATATTTATGCAACGAGAAAATATGGCTTTTTGTAGATAGAAAGTTCAATTGATCACTTTAAAATTTTATTTAGTGATAATGGAAGATTTGAATTACACATAGTTTGGGAGGTCATTGAGAAATCTTGACTGAAAAAGAGGAGGTGAGGACCTCTTATGGGGACCTCAGGACTAATGAGGTGATTTTATAGGCAAATTATGCTGTGCATCCGTATGCACCATGCATGGTGCATACGGATGCAAAAACGACGTCGTTTTAATAAAACGCGCGTCTCCCCTTAAAAAAAAAAAAATCAGGTTCGATTCCTAGCAACAACATATGAACTAAAATTCCATAATCGATGAACTATAATTCCATAATCGATGAACTATAATTCCATAATCTAATCTATGAACTAAAAATTCCAGAATGAATGAACTAAAATTCCATAATCTATAAACTAAAATTTCAGAATCGATGAACTACAATTCCATAATCGATGAACTATAATTCCATAATCAATAAACTATAATTCCATAATCTATGAACTAAAATTCCAGAATGAATGAACAATATAATGTTGTTGCTGGGAATCGAACCTGAATTTTTTTTAACTGGGAGACGCGCGTTTTTTAATAAAACGACGTCGTTTTGGCATCCGTATGCACCATGCATGGTGCATACGGATGCACAGCATAACGATTGGATTTTATATTTACTTCAGCAATTCTTGGACAGGGATTCTAATAGTTTAAGATTAGTCTAATTTAAGTTGGGAATTTGGGATATCTAATTTATTAAAATTAAAATACAAAATTCAAAGAACAAAAATTCCCATGCATACACGTGTCTTCCCGCCACCTTTCTCCCAGCAATCATCATCACGAGACATTCTGCAATACCTAGCTAGGATTTTGTTGTTGAGAATCCGTTCTCCGTGATGGAGAATAGTGCACCCCCTGCGCCCCCTCCGCCGGGGCAATTGCCCGGCGCAATAGAGGATTACTGCCGGGCCGATATACACGTCCACTCCCGCGGGTTTTGGGACAATGACCCTACCGACCCGCGCCCCTTCCTCGGTTATTCTCTGCCTCTTCTTCTTCTTCAATTGTGTATCATCTTCGTCCTCACTCAATTGCTCCATTTGTTAATGAAACGCGCCCGCATGCCCCGCGTCGTCTCCGAGCTTCTGGTATTCAATTCTTCTCTGATCTGCCCTATTCGTTACAACAATTCGCTGTTTATCATTTGATTCCAAATTTGCAATAATGCGCGTACGTAGGGTTTCTCGCTCGCATAATGTGTTTTCCTGTCCTATATCTCTCAATGATCTGCAAGTTAGAACATGTATGGATTATGGAATGCTTGTTTTGAATTTGATTTGGTACTATACAGGCCGGCATAATACTAGGTCCGACAGTGCTAGGGCAAATTCCGACGTTCACAGAAACATTTTTTCCGGCGGAAGGACAAACCTATTTAGATTTATTGTCCAAAATTGGTTTTATCTACGCCACATTCATGTGTGGAGTGAAGATGGATCCTAAGATGGTTCTGAAGTGCGGCAAGAAGGCATTTACTATAGGAGTAACAGCAGTGATGGTTCCCTTTGCAGTTTTTACCAAAATTTCGAAAGGATTAGACCATTCAGAGATTAGTAGATATAGACGTTTGTCTGTGAAAGCCATCTTCTCAATACAGTTTTTGAGTTCGTTTCCCGTGACAGCGTCTCTGCTTGTGGATCTAAAGATCATTAATTCTGAGCTTGGCCGCCTTGCATTGGCCACGACGTTGGTTAGTGACTTGGTTAGCAATGGGGTGTCGACTGTTTTCTCCATCATCAAAATCGCAACCATGACAACGATGCCTGTACTGTCGGTGCATTCTTTAGTTATGACCACTGCCTTCATCCTGATTACTTTTGTAGTTGTTCGCCCACTTTCAGCCAGGGTTATCAAAATGACACCGGAAGGAAGGCCAGTAGATACGTCTTTTGTCATTTTCATGACTTTTTTTGTCCTGTTTACAGTCGTAGTCACGGATAATGTTGGGATTAGTTACCAGTATGGACCGTTCTTACTTGGTTTGGTGGTACCTGATGGGCCACCTCTGGGGTCGACACTGGTGGATAAGTTGGATACGATTATATCAGGGCTGTTTGGACCGCTTTTCGTGGCTTACTGTGGTTTGAGAGTGAACCTCATTGAACTGTATGATCTGGAGTTTGTAGCTGTCATTTGGGTCACCATTGCATTGAGCTTTCTGTCAAAGTATTTCACGGTTTTGTTAACTAGTCTGGCCTGCAATGTCCCTCTGAAAGGTGCTGCTTCTCTTGCCTTCATGATGAACACACAGGGCTTCATTCAGATGTCTTTCTACTTCAACAACGCTGTTAATCAGGTACATACACACATTTACTTTTTTAAATTTATTACTTTCTGGATTAGCAATGGATCGGATCTTGTTGCATTCTGTTACCCGCTAGGATATGGTTGTTTTCTTAATTGCTTGTTCTTCATCCAACTGATTGTACATGGTTTGCATAAATCTTATACTCACCCTTCTCCCTCGCTTGAAATGCAGACATTTGATGCCGAAACCTTTTCCATGCTCACTTCATCTGTGATAGTCACAGCAGCAGCATCGTATATCTTTGTGGGGTTCTTGCATGATTATTCAAGAACATATGCTGGGTATCGGAAAAGAAACATCGAGAATAGTTCACTGACCTCAGAGCTGAGGATTATGTCGTGTGCTTATCGACCAGATGATGTGTTGGCAGCAAAGAAGCTATTAGATGTGTCCTTTCCTTGCAAAGGGAGTCCTATCTCGGTCTATGCACTCCACCTGGTGGAGCTGGTTGGGCAGGCAACCCCGCTGCTAATTGATCACCAGCTAGGCCAAAAACATTCCTCCCAAGTTAGCAACGCCCGCTCACAAAAGATATTAGACATGTTTCAGTCGTTCGAAATGCAGCATTTGGAGTCAGCTACTGTGCAATTCTTTACAGCGATATCGATGCCCAAGTTCATGCACCACGACATTTGCTCGCTGGCGTTTGACAAGTTGACGTTTTTTATCATGCTTCCGTTTCACAGGAGATGGAACCAGCAGGGGAGGTTGATCTCAGACAGCACTATGTTGAGAACAATTAACTGCAATGTTCTGGACATGGCTCCTTGTTCTATAGGCGTTCTAATAGACCGTCATAAAATCAGGAAAAAGATGCCTGCAGGGCCATCGGCGGCTTACCGAGTGGCCGTGATATTCATGGGAGGATCCGATGATCGAGAGGCATTGGCCTATGGAAGGCGCATGTCAATGTCGCTCGAAGTCGAGTTCAGTCTGATCCGTTTAGTTCCACTGAACCCTGACATGGCCGAAAACCAGTGGGACACGGTTCTGGATGCAGAAATGCTGAAAAGCGTGAGGGTGTTAGGGCAGCAGCAGGATAACATAGTGTACAGAGAGGAAAGCGTGTCAGATGGGGCCGAAAGCGCTCTGATTGTTCACGCCATGGAAGAAGCGTTCGACCTTATTTTGGTAGGAAGGCGGCACAAAGACAACACGCCGCAGTTATCAGGGCTGACCGAGTGGAATGATTTGCCGGAATTAGGGCCTCTCGGCGACATGCTTGCTGCTGCAGATATCAACTTCCCGGTTTCAGTCTTGGTATGTCAGCAGCAACCTTTACAGCAGAAATGACAAGGTGCATGGGCTGCCTGCATTTTAGTGCTTCCATTTCTTCAATCAATCAGACTTCATGTATTCAGTCTATAGTAATAGTAATAACTAACTAATAATACTAATGTATTAGCATATTGTGTATATTTGTAAACTTGATGTTGTATCTACTCACTCAATTATATAAATGTTGTTACTTGTTAGTTAAATCATCTCCTTCCACTCGAGCCAACACATCTTGGTGTAGCAGAATGTTAACTATATAGATCTATTTAGAGATATTGTATATTTGTATGTGATAAACCCCTCCATGAGGGGTAGCTAAAGGAGGGGTAGCTAAATGAGTGAGGCACAATTCTCGTAACTAGACCGTCAAAATCGGGAGGGGAGCGGGGCGAGGTGCAAGATCCAAGGTGGGGTAGCTAAATGAGTGAGGCACGGTTCTCGTAACTAGACCGTCACAATCGGGAGGGGGCGGGGGAGGTGCAAGATCCAAGGTAGGACTAGTGTATGTATGCATCATATTAAATAATTATAATGGCCCGTTTGGTTCACGGAATAGGCCGGGAATGGCATAGCATTCCCAGTAATAGGCCTATTCCTTTGTTTGGTAACCATTTCTATTACCAGGAATAATATTCCTGGTAATAGCCTATTACCTCAAATAAGGTAATAGCTATTACTAGGCCCCCTGGTATTAGCCTATCACTAAACGCTCAGGAATAGATTTTAGAATCTATTTTCTTTTTTACCCATTTCTTTAGCCTAATTTTTTTTATCCTATATATAAATTTATCCTATTTCACCACCATCACCGCCGCCGCCACCACCACCACCATCGCCACAACCGTCGCCCCCCCCCCCCCCCCCCCCACCACCACCGCCGCCCCACCACTACCACCGCCACCGCCACCACCACCACCACCACCGCCATAACCGTTGCCGCCCCCACCACCACTGCCACAACCGTCACCATCACCACCACCACCGTCGCCCCCACCACTGCCACCGCCACCGCCACCACCACCACTACCACCCCAGCACCACCACCGCCACCGCCACCACCATCGCCACCATCACATATTTTTATAAGGGTATTTATGTCTTTTAAAACATATTTCATTTTTATTCCTTAAATCAACCAAACATTGTAATATAATTCCTAAAGTCTATTCCTTCCGCGAACCAAACAATAGAATACAATTCCTATTCTATTCCTTACCTATTCCATTCCTTATGGAATAGCATTCCTATTACCTCAAAATTCATTCCGTGAACCAAACGTGCTGTAAGGAATTAAACTTTACGAGTGTGATTTGTGTCGAGTCTGAATTAGTCTTATAGTATTTAAAAAAAAAAAATACAGAGTACTTAAATTGTAGAGCGGCAAATTATACTATAGACATTACAAGTTGAGTGGCAAATTACACTATAGACCCTGGTCCACATTACAAGTTGAACAATTTTCTCAACCTACTAAAGTACAAAAAGTCAATATCACCTCTACTAAGGCTCAGATCCACAATCTCCTATATGAAAATGCAACATTGGTGCCATTAGACCACAAGGTCTTAACATGTATTAAAAATTTATTTTAGGTATTATACAAAAATAAACATGCATTACACTAAAATTGAACTTTCAAAAAATATATTTTTAAAATATTAAAAATAAACATTCAATTGTCTAAAAAAAATAATAAAAACAAACATTCAATGTATTAAAAATGAACATTATACTAATAATCCATAGACCATGCCAAGGTTTGTTTGGATCATTATTATATGGACCATATTAAAAATACATTATTTAAGTATGGAAAGTAAACTATTTTGTATACTATCAAATAGTGTACATTTCACCAATGACCTTATGGTCTAGTGTCATGAAATGACTCTTTCATATAAGAGGTCATGGGTTCAAGCGACAAATATTGCATTGTCACAGAATTAACATGTATATATTGTATTCAGAGAAAGTACAATTATGTTGTATAATGTAATTCAATACATAAAAATTTGTCGAGATCCATAGACCGGCCCAAAAAGCAATTAACCCATTTCTTGTTGGCCCAAATAGGAACAACGATAAGAAACGACATTTCTGATTTCCCTCCATCCACTTTCATCTCTGCGCAAATAGAGCCTCGCGTGCGGAGTTCCTAAATTGACTGGCTGGGAACTTTTTCCGGCGATGGCAGACAGCTGGTCCGTCCAGTTCATACGTTCTTCAAACCGGAATGTCGGAAATTCGGAGGTGATTTCAGTACAAATCTCCCCATTGTTGTGTTCGCAAGTTCTACAATCCCTAAGCCCTTGCTTTTTTCCTTTTTTATTTCTATCTCTATATGCACCACCACAACATCTTCTTCTTCTCTGCCGTTCACCGGAGCAGAGAAGAGAAGATCATCAATCATGGCCACACACGGTGCTCAGCCGCCGCCCTTACTGCAAAACCCGGGCTCCACAGAGGATTACTGCATGGGACGGATGCTCGTCCATTCTCCAGGAATATGGGCGGTCAACACGGCTACCAATCATTTCCGATTCTTTGCTTATTCCCTGCCTCGTATGCTTGGACAGCTAGCTGTCATGTTCTTGCTCGCCGAGCTGCTGCATTTGTTGCTCAAGCGCTTCCGGTTGCCCCGCTTCGTCTCTGAACTTTTGGTACTCTTTCCATCTTCAATCGCCTTTCCTTTATGCAATTGTTAAATCTGCACAATTTAGGCATCCCAGCAAGGAACAAATGAACAATGCTTTATGGAAATAATGCTGTGTTTTGTATATCCCCAATAACGATTGATTGGATCTTCGTGACCTAATCAGAAATATGCCTCCTTGTTTAAGCGATTTCAATAATAATAATAATAAAAGGGAATATTGTATTTTTAGTCCTTTCACTTATATAGACTTAATTCATGAGTTATATGCCTGATCATCTTTGATTTTAGTCCCTACTATTTCTGCCACCAATATATCACTTAATAAAGTGGGGATTTGGTCTTTTAGGGGCTAAATTCATCACTTTGCACATAAATGAAGAGTTAAAAGATGGTTACACACACACACACATATATAAATATATATATATATATATATATATATATATATATATATATATATATATATATATATATATATATATATAAAACGACTAAGTTTATATCAGGGTTTTAACTGGATAACCAAAAATGTAATTTTTCCCCTTTTTATTGTGTTCTTTGGTTTAATCCTCCTTTTCTATTTGGCTCTGAAGTTAATTGGTTGTGAACCTACAGACGGGTATCATCTTGGGGCCAACGGGGGTGGGAAGATTAGAGTTTACAAGAAAAGTTTTAGTGATGGACCAGGCAGACTTTTACATGGGTTTATTGTCAAAAATTGGCTTCCTGTTCTTTATATTCCTGAGTGGAGTGAAGATGGACCTGGGACTGATTTCGAGATCTGGTGTGAAGGCGTGGACAATAGGAGTGATTGCTGTTGCCATCCCACATTTTATTTTTATCTGCTTCAGTGAAGTCGGAATAACGGAATATCCACAGATTCACAGATATAGATGGTCAGCTATTCGGGCTATCTTAAGAATACAAAGTCAGTTTTCGTTCCCCGTGATTGCACTTCTCGTTGTTGATTTGAAAGTTATGAACTCTGAGCTTGGCCGCCTTTCTTTGGCAACTGCATTGGTCAGTGACTTGCTTGGCACTATCGTCATGGCCATCTATGTCAATGTAAAGATGGGATCCATGACTGCAATGACTGTGGTGACAGTACAGGCTTTCGTTTCTGGCGTGGTGTGTGTTGCACTTATTGTGTTCACAGCCCGCCCCCTTTCAGCAATGATAATCAAGCGGACCCCTGAGGGAAGGCCGGTAGACAAGGCTTACATCATTCTTATGGCATTTCTGGTCTTTTTTGCATCCCTATTGAGTGACAATGCAGGGATGAGTTTCCAGTATGGTCCTTTTATACTCGGTTTGGCCGTGCATGGTGGGCCACCGTTGGGATCTACACTGGTGGACAAGCTGGATACAATTGTATCAGGGCTGTTTGGGCCGCTTATGGTGACTTTTGCTGGTATGAAAGTGAACCTATGCGAAATTTATGATATGGAGTTTATTGGGTATGTATGGTTAGCCATGCTGATATGCTATTTCATCAAATACTTGTCAGTTATCACCCCGGCTATAGCTTGCAAAGTTCCTATTACAGATGCTATTTCTCTTGCTTTCATCTTGTGCACGCAAGGCGTTGTGCAGATGTCTTTTTACTTGAACAACACTGTAAACCAGACATTTGATGAGGAAACCTTCTCCATGCTGGTGATGGCTATATTGATCATTGCTTCAGTCACGCATTTTGCTGTGGCGTCTATGTATGACTATTCAAGGACGTATTCTGGGTATCAGAAGAGAGACATCCAACACAATTCTGCCAACTCTGAGCTCAGACTGCTTACAGTTGCTCACCGGCTAGAAGATGTTTTGGCAGCCAGGAAGCTGTTCGAAGTTTCTTGTCCTTACAGAGAGAGTCCTCTTTCAATCTACTCAATGTTCCTGGTTGAGCTCGTTGGCAGGGCAACCCCGCTGCTAGTTGATCACCAGTTAGGCCAAAGGAACGCATCTAGCAACTCGCGTTCCCAGAAAATGATGGACATACTTCGTTCGTTTGAACTGCAGTACCTTGGGTATGTTTACGTGCAGTTCTTCACTTCGGTATCACTGCCAAAGTTCATGCACTATGACATTTGCTCCCTCGGGTTTGACAAGCAGACATCCATGATCATACTTCCGTTCCACAAGAAATGGAACCAGCAGGGCAAGCTTATCCAGGACAGCAACAGCATCAGAACGATGAACAACAACGTGTTGGAAACGGCTCCTTGCTCCGTGGGTATTCTGATAGACCGTCATAAGATAAAGAACCCGCAACGCATGTCATCACCAGTGCAACACGTGGCCGTGATATTCCTGGGAGGAGCCGATGACCGCGAGGCGTTATCTTACGCCAGGCGCATGTCAAGATCACCCTCGGTTTACCTCACTCTGGTGCGCTTCGTTCCACTGGACCCTGACCTGTACAACGACCAGTGGGATGCAGTCCTCGACGCAGAAGTGTTGAAGGACATGCGGATTCAGGCTAAGCACCAGGACAACATCTTGTACCGAGAAGAACGAGTGAACGAGGGGGCTGAGACCGCTCTCGTGGTACGTGACATGCAAGAAGTTTTCGATCTTATCTTGGTGGGGAGGCGCCATACGGATGACATGCCACAGCTGTTTGGACTTAGTGAGTGGAATGAAATAGCTGAACTCGGGCCTATTGGCGATATGCTCGCTGTGGATACCACTTTGCCTGTCTCAGTTGTGGTGGTGCAACAACAAGATACCAAAACCAAATGAGCAAGTTAGGCTTCAATCTTTAGCTCATCATTGTATCAAATGAACATTGATTCCAATGCTGATTTCATCACATGTTTCATTGTTCCTTTGGGTGATTGTTTGATTACAACTTTACATCTCTCATCATACATCTATACTGTTGCATCAAGTGCGCATGATGAGCACTAATAGACTATTTAATACTAAAATATTAAATATTAATATAAAAAAATATCTAGAGTTTGAACAATTTAGGATTATTTGGCTCAAAATGATGCCGTTTTGAGTGAACCATTTAAAAAGGAAGGGAACAATAACTAATTGACCGACTAGGCGACCTAGTCAGTGCCTAGGTGACGCTTAAGCGGTCTAGTCGATTGCCTAGCCGGTCAGCCGCCTAAACCATCGATTATGGTGATACGCTAGGCGCTGGCGCCATTTAATCGATGTCTAGGCAGAATTTTTGTAATACTGGTTGGTGTCTCTCTAACTTGAGTTTCTTGTTCTGCTAAACCAAAGGCAGTATTATATCTTATGCAAAATTCTCTCATACCGATTTGATTTGGCCTTGTCACAAATTGGCATGAAAAGGGTCCCCATGTCCTATGATACTTCCACCGTTACAATTCCCCTTAATTGATTCCATCATGAATTAATAAGAAATTTACAAATCAAAAATTATGTTTTGGTGATAAGGGTATTTGATATTTAATCAATGTAAGAGTTAATCTCTCCATAATGTAGTATCGCTTATACGGATTCATAGTACCAAAATAATGAAATGTTGTGTTTTACTTCTTTCGAATGCATATTCTTACTGATCACTATAAAGAGACATGATTACCATACATATCACTCCCTTTTTCACTATAAATATTTATAGTCAAATTAAAGCCAATGAGAAGGCATCAAGTTGTCAACATATAGATCAATCTACATCATCTTCATCCTCGGGTTATCTACCAAAACCTCTTTGCACTCTCCTAACATTCTGTAAAAATATACAGTACATACATGTATCAAAATTTCTTGAAATATAGTGAAATTGATTTTTACACCATTTAAAAAGCTCATGATTTTCACATTACGATTTTTACGTAAAAATTTGTGTTTAATTTATTTATATATTTTAATTTTGACCAAATTAAATTGCTAAAAGGTATGTCAAAAAGATCATTTACCAAACAAGACCATAAATGATTAAGATCGTGTAAGTGAAATTAAATTGGTGATAAATTAATAATAATAATAATAATAATAATAATAATAACTTTAAATGATTAAGATCGTGTAAGTGAAATTAAATTGGTGATAAATTAATAATTAATAATAATAATAATAATAATAATAATAACAATAACAACAACTACTACTCAATAAGTGGAGAGATGAGTTCGGAAAAAAGAAAATTCATGTGACAAGAAAAAAATGAGTTAACACTTAATTTACTTCTCAATTATTATTATTATAGTGCATGGTTTTGCTAGATATAGTCTTAAACGACTGTTTATGTTTTTTTTTTGAATGCTACTAGCTCTATTACATTGTAGTATCTGTTCATATACTTTCTCAACCTACTGAAACACAAAGAGCTAATAACGCCTCCACTGAGGCTCGAAATCACAACCTTCCAAATAGAAATCCAACCCGGATACCATTGGACCACATAGTCCTGGTAAACGACTGTTTATGTTTAATTGAATACTTTTAACTTTAATGTTTTTGCCAAATTAGGAGTGTATTCAATCATAACTTTTATAGAGTTTTAAAGACTTGTATGAATTTTAAAAGTTTGGAGGTATTCAATTCAAATTTTTATAGTCTTTAAAAGTTATGCGGGACGTATTCAATCAAGATTTTTAAAGAGTCTTTAAAAGTCGTGTGATATTCGATTAAGACTTTTAAAGAGTCTTTAAAAGTCATGTGGTATTCAAAAAGTTATGAACTTTTATAGACTTTTTAATTTTAAGACTTTTGTAGAATTTTCCTTCTCAAATATAAATAATTGAAATTCAACCATCAACCCCAAGATTTCAAAATTTTCTTTCTAACAACTTTGAATGTTTTCTCTCTATATTTAAACTCTATTTTTTCTCTCTATTTAAACTTTATAAACCTATCTAAATTTAATAAAATTATTTTTTCTTCATTATCCTATATTTTCCTCATACCTAAACTCTACCAATTTTTCTCTCTCCCCTAAACATACTTTATAATCTTCTTCTAAAAATTCAAAATAATATTATTTTTACTTCATTATTGTTTGTTTATATTGATTTTTATTTTTTCGATGAATTTTTTATCCTTAACTTTCTCTAATTCTTTCTAAAATACTGTTGGAAAAATAGCATTAAAATGATATTTTAAGTGGCTATTTTGTGGTACAATTATCGGTGGGGTCCACTTCCGATTTGGGTCGGGTCAAAGTGGATTCGGGTTCTTCGTAGTGAGACGAAGAGATTGATATATTGTATGCTCAAAATGGATAATGGGCGAATGAGATATTGATTTCAAAGTAGACCCATTGAGTTGGAAAAATGAAAGGAAAAGTGAGCTTTGTCCCACATTGGTTTGGAAAGAGGATTTGACCCCCCTTTTATACAAGAGCACTTTTGGAACTTGTAGAATTGTATAGCATAGAGGCTTTCCAACTAGAGATGAGTTCAAAAAGGTTTGATTTAAGTCCGAGCATGTGTGCGCCGGCACTTACAGGTACGAATGTTGTCCGGTAAGTGTATATATATCTAATAATATTTTATATATATAAATATTATTTTTGGGATATTAAATCGATTTTGGTTCATTATCGCCAACAAATACATGAACAAAATAAAATTTTCATCGTCAAATTTTAGTCTATGTTTCATAATATTCATATAAATACTTATATATTTTGATTTTTATTCTTTTTATGTTTATATTCGTAATATATATATATATATATATATATATATATATATTTAACAACAGATTACTATAAATAGGAGTTAATACCTCCAATGGTCCTCGATTGACCTCCAATAGTCCTCCATATTTTAAAAAATAATCACATGTAATTTTTCTAGGACGTCTCGTGATCCTTTTAGGACGTCTCAGGTGATCTACCAAAACCTCTTTTCACTCTCCTAACATTCTGTAAAAATATACAGTACATAAATATTTATAGTCAAATTAAAGCAAATAGCCCATTTCTTGTTGTTGGCCCAAATACGAACAACGATAAGAAACGACATTTCTGATTTCCCTCCATCCACTTTCATCTCTGCGCAAATAGAGCCTCGCGTGCGGAGTTCCTAAATTGACTGGCTGGGAACTTTTTCCGGCGATGGCAGACAATTGGTCCGTCCATTTCATACGTTCTTCAAACCGGATAGTCGGCAAGTGGGAGGATTTCAGTACAAATCCCCCCATTGTTGTATTCGCAAGTTCTACAATCTCTAATCCCTTGCTCTTTTCCTTGTGTTTCTATCTCTATATGTACCACCATAACGTCTTCTTCTTCTCTGCCATTATTGGGAGCAGAGAAGGGAAGATCATCCATCAATCATGTCAATGTACGGTGCTCCGCCTCCCCCATTGCTGCAAAACCCGGGCGCCTCCGAGGATTACTGCCTGGGACGGATTCTCCTCCATTCTCCAGGATTATGGCCGGCCGAGGTTAATCCAGAGAACTTTCACTTCTTCACTTATTCCCTCCCTCGTATGCTTGCACAGATAGCTCTCATATTCTCGCTCACTCAGGCGCTCTATTTGTTACTCAAGCGCTTCCGGTTGCCTCGCCTTGTCTGTGAACTTTTGGTACTCTTTCGCCTTCAATCGCCTCTCCTTTATGCAATTTCCCCCTCGATTCATTTGCACTTGATATTGATCTCTATCCCTAACGTTAAATCTACATAATAATGTGTGTTTTTTTTTTTTTTTTTTTTTTTGTACATCTCCAATAACTTTTGATTGGATCTTTGTGGGCTAATCAGAAATATCTATCCTTGTTTATGCGATTTAATTTTGAACTTTGTTCATTTTCTTTGGTTTAAATGTTTAATCCCCCTATTCCATTTGGTTTGAGTCTACTGTTAGACTGTATCACGGATTTGTATCTTTCAGATAGAAATATAATAATTATGCTCTTAAATTTAATACTAATGACGAATACAATTTTTATTATTCATAAAGAAAAATGTACCCTAATATTTAGGGGATGAACAGATTCATGAGAGAATATGTAATACTTATAATGGAACATGTGATATTTTGATGATATTAGGAATTGTGAAGTTAAAGGGAAATTGTAATACTTATAAGGGGAAGTGTAATACATATGAAAAATTTCATTGGAGATTTTGCCATTTGGTTTCAAAGTTAATTGCTTGTGAATCTGCAGGCTGGTATCATCTTGGGGCCAACGGTGCTGGGAAGATTTGAGTTTATAAAACTTTATTTGTTGATAGAACCGACCGACGGTTACATAATTTTATTGTCAAAATTTGGGTACATGTTCTTTATGTTCCTGAGTGGAGTGAAGATGGACGCAGGATTGATGTCCAGAACTGGTGTGAAGGCGTGGACAATAGGAGCCCTTGCTGTTGCCATCCCAAATTTTGGGTTTACAGTCTTCAGTGACGTCATGTTACCGGAGTATTCACAGATTCACCGATATAGACGATCAGCTATTTCGACTATCTTGAGAGTGACCAGTCAGTTTTCATTTCCCGTGATTGCAGCTCTCCTTGTTGATTTGAAAATTATGAACTCTGAACTTGGCCGTCTTTCCATGGCAACTGCATTGATCGCTGATTTGGGCAGTAATGTCTACTTGTCTGTCTACACCAATTTGAAGTTGGGAGCCATGGCTGCCATGGATGTGTTATCGATACATGCTTGTATTCTGAGTGTGGCGTGTATGTCGCTTATAGCATTCACATGCCGGCCCCTTTCAGCAATGATAATCAAGCGGACGCCCGAGGGGAAGCCAGTAGATACAGCCTATATCGTTTTGTTCGCTTATCTGGTTTTTTTGGCAGCCGTGTTGACTGACAATGCAGGGATGAGTTTCCAGTATGGTCCTTTTATACTCGGTTTGGCTGTGCCAGATGGGCCGCCTTTGGGATCTACACTGGTGGACAAGATGGATACAATGGTGTCAGGGCTACTGGCGCCGCTTATGGTGACTTACACTGGTATGAAAGTGAACCTAAATGAATTGTATGATCTGGAGTTTATTGTGTATGTGTGGATTACTGTCCTCTCATGCTATGCTTTCAAATACTTTTCGGTTTTCACCCCGGCTTTAGCCTGTGGAGTTACTATCAAAGACGCTGCTTCTCTTGCTTTCATCTTGGGCACGCAGGGCATTATGCAGGTAGCTCTTTACTTGAACACCTACGTGAATCAAACGTTGGATAGGGATACCTTCTCGATGCTGGTGGTATCTGTGTTGATCATTGCTACAGCCTCGCATCTAGTTGTGGCGTATATGTATGACTATTCAAGGGCGTATTCTGGGTATCAGAAGAGAGACATCCAACACAATTCTGGCAACTCTGAGCTCAGACTGCTAACCGTTGCTCATCGCCTAGATGATGTATTGGCAGCGAGGAAGCTGTTAGATCTTTCTTATCCTTACCGAGAGAGTCCTCTTTCGATCTACTCGCTGTTCTTGGTTGAGCTTGTTGGCAGGGCAACCCCGCTGCTAATTGATCACCAGTTAGGGCAAAAGAATGCATCTACCAACTCGCGTTCCCAGAAAATGGTGGACGTGCTTCACGCGTTTGAGCTGCAGTACATGGGGTGTAGTTTCGTGCAGTTCTTCACTTCGGTATCGCTGCAGAAGTTCATGCACCACGACATTTGCACCCTCGCGTATGACAAGCTCACATCCATGATCATACTTCCGTTCCACCGGAAATGGAACCAGCAGGGCAAGCTCACCCAGGACAACAAGAGCATCAGGTTGATGAACAACAATGTGTTGGAAACGGCTCCTTGCTCCGTAGCCATTCTGATAGACCGTCAGAAGGCAAAGAGCCAGGCGCAAAAGCCATCCCCCATGCAACACGTGAGCGTTATATTCCTGGGAGGAGCCGATGACCGCGAGGCATTGTCCTACGCCAGACGCATGTCAAGATCACCCACGGTTTACCTCACTGTCGTGCGCTTTGTTCCGTGGGACCCCGAGCTGAGCGACAACCAGTGGGATGCTGTCCTCGACGCAGAGCTGTTGAAGGACACCCGGTTTCAGGCTCAGCAGCAGGACAACATCGTTTACAGAGAAGAAAGGGTGAAGGATGGGGCGGAGAGCGCTCTCCTCATACACGACATGGAAGAAGCCTTCGATCTCATCTTGTTGGGGAGGCGCCATAGAAATGACATGCCGCAGCTGATCGGACTTAACGAGTGGAACGACATACCTGAACTGGGGCCTTTAGGAGATCTGTTTGCTGTGGGTGATATCGCTTCACCTGTCTCAGTTGTGGTGGTGCAACAACAAAATACCAAGACCAAATGAGCAAGTTAGGCTTCAATTTGTAGCAGCTCCCCTCATTGTATCAAATCAGATTTCCTCAGATGTTTCATTCTTGTGTTCCCTGGTTGATTGTCTGCTTACAAGTTTACAACCCAATCATACATCTATACTATTATTGTTGTATCAAGTGTGCATGATGATAAGCACTTCTTGTAATCAATCAGCTGAGATGCAATTACACATCTGTGAAGTGGTTGATGTCTGTTAAAGTGATGAGCTTCTTTCTCTCTCTCTCTCTCTCTCTCTCTCTCTCTTTAATTACCTGAGTGTGTGCAGTGAGTGTGTACTAGGTCTATTAGATACATCGTACTAGAAAGATCTTATGTGACGGGCTTAATTGACTAATAGAGTGTTGTAATCTTCTAATATAAAAATTAATAAATTATGATTCACCCACTCGACCATCTTTTTTAGGATATCCTATTTAAGTGGTGATATCCTACCATCTTCAAGGTATTCTATTTATGGAGTGATATCCTATATATATAGAGTAAAAGACATTTTTGGTCCTAGACTTATAGTGGCTTGGACAATTTTAGTCCTTTATAAAAAAATTTGCCATTTTATGGACAGAGTTATTGTGGCGAGGACATTTTTGGTCCTTCGTCTATATTTCTGTTAGATAACCGTATGAGAGAGGGGCAATTACGTCAATTTAGGCTATCTCTTTATTGTGAGATGGACGATTTTGGTCCCACAATCATGCCTTTACTCTGACCCTCATTTATTTGTAGTTTTGCACTATGAAATGCTCTGCCCACAACCATGCCTTTACTGCAACTTGGACTCTCCGACTCCTTCGAATTATGACCGAGAAGAAAACAAAACACACATAGATATAATAGATAGAAGGAGATAGCCTAAATTGACGTAATTACCCCTCTCTCAGACGGTTATCTAACAAAAATATAGACGGAGGACCAAAAATGTCCTCGCCACAATAACTCTGTCCATAAAATGGCAATTTTTTTTTATAAAGGACTAAAATTGTCCAAGCCACTATAAGTCTAGGACCAAAAATGTCTTTTACTCCTATATATATTATTAAAAAGAAGGGGAACATTAATCTAACAATTTTAATATTAAGTCTAATCTTAATCAATTACTATAGGATGAGACTATGCTTTTAATTTTATTTCATTTTTGGTGAGGCCATGAGGTGTTCTGAGCAGGCTCTAATTGTAGAAGGCACCTTTAAACACGTACCATACTTAGACTAATTTCCATTCTAATAAATCTAAATGGAACGGGGTATATATGTTGTGGCACTTTGGTTAAAATGTGATATGATACAAATTTTGATTTAAGTAGCTTTTTAAAATTATTTTCCTATTATGAATCGGATGTTATAGTTCTATTTGATAAAACCTGTGTAACTTAAAATAATAACTTATTTTGAAACCTTTTAGCGGTTCAAAATAAGTTATAAACAATTTTTTTCTTTTTTATCCTTATTAATTTACAAAAATGACACTATTTACCATTCTTTACTCAAAACTCTAATATCTATTATAAAATAAAAAATTAACAAAAAAAAAAAAAAAAAAAAACCTCTTCTCCTCTCAATTCGTTAACGTGTATTTTTCCTAAATATTCTTCTCCTCCTAGTTCTTTATTGTACATGTTCATCAAGGTGAGAGACAAACAACATCATCACCCTTGCATTATAATTTGTAATCATCCAAGGTAATCAATCTCTCATTTTTTTAATCATTTAATCAGAGTAATATATATATAATACGGATCAAATGCGACTAGTGTGCTCAGGTACGAACGTGGGTTGAGATGAGAGGCATTAATCTTGCCAAGATCAATGCCCAGGATTAACAAGGATAAAAAAAAAAAAAACGCGGTGGCAATTTGGTCTTTATGCGTTTAGGTCAAATTTAAGGTGCATGATTTTTGTACTTAAGGTGCGTGATTTCTGTGTTGTGTACTTAAGGTGCGTCGGTCTAAAGCTATAGGTGTGTGGTTTTCCTTCTTAAGGTGCGCGGTTTTCCTTCTTAAGGTGCGTGGTCTGTGTGCTTAAGGTGCGTCGGCCTAAAGCTTTAGGTGCATGGTTTTCCTTCTTAAGGTGTGCGGGTCTAAAGTTTTAAGTGTGGTTTTCCTTTTTAAGGTGCGTTGTTTTCCTTCTTAAGGTGCACTTTTTTTTTTTTTTTTTTTTTTTTTTTTTTTTTTTTTTGCAGTCCCAAAACACAACCACTATCCTTTGGCAATCATGTTTCAGCAATCAGTTAATAGAAATAGAAATGTAGATTTTATTGCTTATGAGTGGCCAGCTCTGGTGGTGTTGTCTTCTTAAAATCGATTTTGTCAACGTGCTTAGATCTAACCCCATCTTTCACCTAAGAGATCCTTCACACCAGAGCCAACCCATATATATATATATATATATATATATATATATATATATATATATATATATATATATATATATGAAATGGTTCAGGTGCAGGTATAGCTTCCCGTGCAGTTGTGCGGTTAGATCTGAGCCGTTGATCAAATTCATATCAACGGCTCAAATCAATGAAAATTATTTTTTTTAAAAAAAACGTGTCTGGAAGAAAGAAGCATAAGCTAAAAATGCGCACCTTAAGTGATAGAAACACGCACCTTAAGTGTTAGAATAACGCACTTTAAGTGTTAAAATGGCGCACATTTAGTATTAACATCGTGCACCTTCAGTTTATAAACTGACGCACCTTAAGCATACGAATCACGCACCTTAAGCACACAACTCACGCACCTTAAACGCAAAACTCATGCACCTTAAGCACAAAACTCACACACCTTAAGTTTCAACTACTCACATTAAGCACACAACTCACGCACCTTAAGCACAAACCACATGCACCTTAAGCACAAACCTCACGCATCTTAAGTTTCAACAACTACTCACATTAAAGACACAATCCACACACCTTAAGCACAAACTCCACGCACCTTAAACACAAAACTCACGCACATTAAGCACAAAACTCACGCACCTTAAATTTGACCTAGATGCAAAAATTACCAAATTGCCACTGTATTTTTTTTTTTAATTTTAAATTTTGGTAATCTTGGACGTTGATTTAAGCAAGATCGATAGCTCATATTTAACCGCACAACAACACTTGGGGCTGCCAACTACTCACATTAAGGACACAATCCACACACCTTAAGCATAAATCCCACGCAGCTTAAACACAAAACTCACGCACATTAAGCACAAAACCCACGCACCTTAAATTTGACCTAGATGCAAAAATTACCAATTGCCACTGCATTTTTTTTTTTAATTTTAGTAATCTTGGACGTTGATTTAAGCAATACCGATAGCTCATATTTAACTGCACAACCGCACTAGAACCTAATTATATATATATATATATATATATATATATATATATATATATATATATGATCAAATGAAGACTCATTCTTAGGTGAGGATATGACGACTAATCTTGTGCGTTCGTTTTTTTATTTCGATGGTCCAGATTTGATTTTCAAAAATGATATGAATTGATTTTTTTGTTAAAGTTGGGTAGTAGTGTCTTCTTTTTTTTTTTTTTTTTTTTTTTTTTTTTTTTTTTAAGTGTGAACGCATGTATAATCCTTGTTTTAATTGGTTTCCTATTTTTTAGATCACCACCGTTGCGATTTGGAGCCGCGATTTCTTCATCATTGATTGAGTGTTCGCCCATGCAATGTACTCGGTATTTTTTATATTTTTTTCGCTCGTTCTTTTGAATATAATATTGCCTATATTTGGATGGTTGTGTATATGTACAAATGCTTGGATAGTACGATTGTGCATTCGTGTGTGCTGGTTGTGCAATCTAGTGTTGTAAGTTGTGCATTGTAGGCTGGTGAGTTGTGCATTATTACACATAATTCAGTGCATCGTAGGACATTGAGATGTCAACTGTAGGATTTTTAGGTGGTGTTTGAATGCACAACTATAGACTTATCGATGCACAATACTCTGTATAAGAATGCACAATATTTTGTATAGTGATGCACATATTCTAATAGACTAATTTACCCATAAATTTATATTTTTTAATAGTTTAAAGAAATTTGTTTCTTTAATCCGTGTGATTTGTTCCTTTTAATCTCAGCCATGCTTCATTCATGGCACTAGGCGCCCATAGGCCGTTCCGCTTTCACTGTTAGGCGCCCAAAAATCGGTCGGCCGTTTAGGCGGCGAAATCGGCGGAAATGGTCAAAATCGGCCGAGTCGGGCGATTTTGTTCGAAGTCGTCTAGTCCAGTCGTTCGTAGACTAGTTTGATACTTTGAATATTTGGATGATTGACGTATTTGAGTATTTTTATTTTTTTAATATTGTTTTGATTCTATGACTATCACTATTTTGTTGGCGCCCAACTAGTGCCTACTGCAACCATGATATATATATATATATATATATATATATATATTCAAAAGTATGGACGTGGATTAATATAATCAAATGTATTGAGATCAAAGAAGAGTTTGAAACTATTACCAAATGCAAAACTACACACGAAACTCTAAAGAAGATATAGAATATACTTAGTTAAATGCCACAATTTAGTGTGGACACCCAAATTGATGTTACTATTACCACATTTACATTGCATAATTACATCCAAAAATACTTCAGATGATATGATGTTTAAAATATGCTTGAGCAATATCCAAAAACATACTGCTAGATGATCTTTAAAATTTTAGTTCTACTTGCACCGGCAATGAAAATTTAAGTGAATCAACTAGTGAGAAAAAAGATATTCGCAATAATATTGCTTTATTATGAAATGCTAGATCATAAATGTGATATATATATACACATTAAACACACACACACACACTTACTTTAAATTGCAATATATATCACTATTTAAATTTGAATTTATAAATTAACAAAAATGTCCTCTTATGTCTTTTTACACTTATCATCTTATTCAACTGCTAATTTTACTAAACACCTTAATTTCAATCAATTAGTTTATTAACTACTAACTTTTTAGTTTCAACTACTAGCTTTTGAGCTAGGCATGTCAAATAGAACCTATGTTCTTGATTTAGGGGGATTATATTTGAAAAGTCTAATTACTTAAGATATTATGTAAAATTGATCGGTTATAAATTTAAGTCAAATAAAAATAAGTCAATAATAATGGGTGAACTTAGGGATGACAAATTGTCCCGTCATCCCAAATCCCCGTCTCAACGGAGATGAAAATGTAAAAAAATTTTGAAAAACGGGGACAAGGACCAGGATACCCCTCTCCACCCCGAATAGTTATTATTATTATTATTATTATTATTATTATTATTATTATTATTATTATTATTAAAATTAGGAGTTAAGTTTTTATTATTAAAAATTGCACTACTTTTATGTTTTTTCAACCGGTTATTATTATTATTATTATTATTATTATTATTATTAACTCCAAACTTTATTATTACTATTATTTTAGGACACACCACCCATTCTTGAGTGAAAAACGGGGACTTGATTTAAAACCAATGTTTAAACTGTCTGGCAATGGGGTATTTGAATTTGTAGACCATCTGTGGATAACCACTTGACATAAGGATTACGAGGTCAACAATGTTACCCTGTCTGTCTCACACTTTCACTTTTGTTTCCGGTACGGTTAGATTCTTGCCCCGCCCTCCCGCCGGCCGGATTAGGATTCATCATCAATGGAATCAAAATACTCTCATTACTCTTCCTCCGGCATCGTCAGACAACCCGGCGGCAACTTTTCCATTATCTGCCAAAGCTCAAACAGGGGCGACCCTAAGGGCATGTGGATTGACTACCAAAACTCTTTGCAGTACACCACCCCTCTTTTCATGGCGCAGCTTTGCATCGTCTCCCTAGCTTATATGGTCATTAAGTATACTCTCAAGCCCCTCCGCCAAGCCTCCATCATTTCCCAAGTTCTCGTAAGCATATATATTTTAAAACCCCAATTTCTGATCAAGCTAAGTGTGATATAACAAAGTTGACTGTATGTGTAAATTAAACCTGCAGAGTGGTATACTTTTAGGTCCATCCATCTTGGGCCGAAATGAGTTCTTCGCAGAGACGTTTTTCCCCCAGAGAGGCATCATGATCTTCGAGACCGTGGCGGGATTCGGGCTTCTCATCTTCCTGTTCGGCGTCGGCGTGGAGATGGAAACCAGACGGATGTTCAAACCCAGCCGGACCGCCGTGGTAGCCGGCATCTTCATGGTCGTATTTTCCAGCTTGCTCACGGTGCCCATGGCCGTTCTACTAACTCGCGTCCTCTCCATGAACGAAAGCCTAAGGCAGATTCTCCCCATCTTCGCAGTGTCGCAATGCACGTCGGCGTTTCCCAGCGTCTGCCCCTTCCTTAAAGACCGCAAGATCATCAACACCGATCCAGGCCGAATCGCCATCTCCATTTCTCTGTTTTCCGATCTCATCGGGATGAGTCTGGCGATCGTAAACTACTCCTTGCAACCCCTTTTGAAGGATAGTATCGGGCAACCTGTGGTGAATACAATCGGGGGGCTATTATCGGCGTTGTCTTTTGTCTCCATTTTAGCCTTCGTCATCCGGCCCCTCATTCTCAAGCTTCTGGTTCGTCTTCCCCAAGAAAAACCGGTTTCGGAGTCTTATATCATGGTTTTCTTCATACTTTTCTTAGCTTGCAGCTTAGTGACTGAGATTATCGGGCAGCATTTTGCGTTTGGGGCATTGGCCGCCGGCATCGTCATCCCGCCGGGACCCCCTCTGGGGTCTACTATAATCAGGCGCCTCGAGTACCCCATTGCAACGTTCTCTTACCCCACATTTCTCACCAACAGCGGACTCAAAACAAACATTTTCTTCATCCAATCTCATAATCTGTTGGTTGTTTGCATTATTGTCCTTTACGCTGCCGTGATCAAGGTTGTCATAATGATGGTTCTCGGCAAGTTCTTGGCCATAAGCACTACAGAATCGGTGGTGATTGGGCTTATGTTGAACGCAAAAGGCCCCACTGAGCTTATCCTCTTCAACCTCTGGAGCGATGTTCAGGCTAGTATATTTTTAATATCTGTTCATAAGCACAAAGAGTTAATATAAGCACAAAGAGTTTTGGTGCGATCACAAGGTCACTGGCACTATATATGTAGTCCAGAATTTAAATTTGGGGCTTCCAAAAAAAAAAAATTTAAATTAAAATTTGAAGTGTTTTGTGCTTGAATTTGATCAGATTCTGAATGACGAGGAATTCTCGCTGGCGGTTACCGTGGGAGTGATTGGAATCATGCTGATCCAGACGCCATTGATAGTGTTGTTGATGAAATCAGCGAACAGACACACGCCGTTTAGGAGGAGGACGATACAGAATTTGAAAAGGGAAATGGAGCTGAGAATTCTGGTAGCGATCAAAGATCAAGAGTCGGTTCCGTCGATCGTGAACCTTCTGGAAGCTTCGAATGCATCGGAGGAAAGTCCGGTTGCGGTTATAGCGCTGATCCTGGTGGAGCTGGTGGGCCAGGCGGCTCCGATCCTCATCGCGCACCAATATTCCCACCAAAACCTCAACCTGGACACCTCCTCCTCCGCGCAAATCATAAACGCGCTGCGGCAGTACGAGTTCAACAACGAGACGAACGTCTCGCTTCAGCCCTACACGGCTGTGTCGCAATCGGAGATAATGCACGACGACATTTGCAGGCTCGCGGTTGACCAGAACGCAACCATCGTCATCCTCCCGTTTCACAAGCACTGGGCGATCGACGGCTCGATCGGAACGGTGAACCGAGCAGAGCAGCATATGAACTCCAAGGTCATCGAGAAATCGCCTTGCTCCGTCGCGGTTCTGGTGGACAAAGGAATCCTCACCGGTTCCTTAACCATTATCAACACTAACGCCGTGTATAAAGTCGCCATGATCTACATCGGCGGCCCCGACGACGCTGAGGCTCTCTGCTACGGTGCGCGTATGGCCAGGCACACTAACGTCACCCTCACCGTGCTCCGATACCTCCTCCTCGGATGCGATAACGCCAGGGAGAGGAGATTCGACAACGACATCATAGAAGCCATCCGGTGCGCCAACGTCGGGAACCACCACTTCGTATACCAGGAACAGGTGGTGAAGGACGGGGAAGGATTCGCGAGCTCTCTTAGAAACATGGAAAATATTTTCGATTTGTTGATGGTTGGGAGGACTCACCAGGATTCGCCGCTGCTAGAGGGGATTGGAGCCTGGATCGAGTGCTCCGAACTCGGGGGGGTCGGAGACTTCTTGGCGTCGCCGGATTTTAAGAACACGGCGTCGGTGCTGGTGGTGCAACAGCAGAGATTTGGGGGGAAGTTGATCAATAGAGCCGCCAAGCCGGTGGTTAACGCCCAAGATTTTATGTATGATAATAATTCTTCCACGCATCTTTCAGCACAAGGAGGTTCATCATTTGGTAGTGACACTAATTCCAGATGGGAACTTCCAAGAGATAGGTCTGATAGGGTTTAATTAATTGCTTAATTTAGGAGTACTGTTTAATTAAGCTAATTTATGTAACATACATAGCAAAATGTTGTTCTTTTGTACAATATATGTTTAGCATGCAGCCTCATTTGGTTAAATTATCATCAATTGTACATATATAGATAGAAATGCCTTAATTGAATATAAGAAGTTCCGATCCAAGTTGTTTCTTAGGCTTTAATTTGGCATTTTATAGGGCTTCCATTTGTTTATAATTCTCTATTTCTATATGTTTTTTTAGTCAATAGGAGGGCACAAAACCCCACACATCAACCATCAAATCTGTTGAATTTGTGTGTAAAGTTCAAATATCTTATAATTTGATGTCATCACTATTACACTTCGTTTGGTTTGTTGAAAAATATTTAAAGGAAAATGAAATTCAAATTCTATAAAAAATAATTTATCAAGAAAATAGATTCCATTGTTTAATTGGTTGGCGGAAAAAAAAAATTACTAGTGATGGGGTGAGAACCCCGGCCCAAGAAAAGAGGGCCCAAAGAGGAAAGACCAGAGAGAAGAATGGGCTGACACGAGGCAGGCCTGGAGAGTGTGTGGGCCGAGTCCAGGAGTCGGCCCAGGCCCAAATGGAAGGCCCAGGCCAGGGCTATGAAGGACGACCCAACCTGAGCATGGGCCGGAGACGAGGAGTCGGTCCGGGCCCAGCCCAAGGAAAGACTCAATGCAGAGAGCCGTTGAGGGAGCCTCCGACGAAGTTAAGATAAGGAGCCGTTGAGGCATTAAAGGCCGGACTCGGTCCGCCGGTTACGAGCTAGAAAGAGCCGTTGGTAGACCCCGTAACGTCACTCAACGGCTCGACACCTTGAAAGCAGCTTTGAAGTCGGCTATTATGGGCCTTTAAGTCAATGAGGGAGGAGCCACTATAAAAGGGCTCCTCCACCCTTGTAAGAGGAGAGATTCGAGAACCCCGAGGAGGAGTACAAGGCTTTATTAACATCGCATTTCATTGAAATTAGACTTTTTGTGAAAGGTGTATCCTCCAGCTGAAAGGTTGTGTTGGACCTCCTTGGGCCCGAAAACCCAAAAACCATCACTGGCACCGTCTGTGGGGATCGAAACAAAGAGTCGCGTGCCTTTTGAGCAAAGCGAGTCCGGGAGAACGTCGAGAAGAGCCCTAGTTGCGAGAGATCGAGAGGCTTTACCATGACAGGAAGCCAAGAACAGTTGAGTCAACACGATAACGGGCTAGGAGCCGACCTAAGAGATCAGTTGAATCGAAGAAATGCCCGAAGCCGGGAAAACGACGCGACACTGCCGCCGACTCCGAGGATAAATCCACAACCAGCCGCGGTGCAGCTCACCCCGGATCAGCTACAAGCGATTGGACGCGCTTTCGCCGAGGCGAGCCGGGGAATGCGGGAGCAATCCGCTACTCGGATACCGCAACGAGACCCCCAACCGTCGCGGAGGCCAGACAATCGACAATCCGCCCGCCGGACTGAGAGTCAACCGGCCCAGTCCGTTCATTCTCGGTTGGGTCCGGGTGTGGAACGACGGTCGGCGAGAGAACGGCTGGGACGAAGGGAACCCCTTCGCGCCCCGTTAGAAACTCACGGTCGACAGAGCGCGCGTGAGCGTAACCGTGCAAGGAAAGCCCGGACGGTGGCTCGCCGCTTAGAGCAGCCCGCCCACGACCATGATCAACCTGATGAGTCAGAGGTCGGCGAGAGCACGGAATCGACAGGAAATCGCGCCCAAAAGAGGGTCGAGGTGGCAAATCTAGTCCAGGAAGTACGAAATCTAAAAGAACAGGTGGAAGGAAAAGCCAAGGCCCCTGGCCGAACGCTGCTGACCGCGTTACCCTTCTCGGCCGAGATCATGGCCTTCAAGATACCGGGCGACTTCAAGTTCCCGGAGCAAGCCACGTTCGACGGGTCGGGCGACCCGCGAGAACACCTACTGAGCTACCAAGCTAAGATGCAAGTTTTAGGGGTACGGGACTCGGTCATGTGCCGCGCCTTAATACCCACGCTAAAGGGGTCCGCGCAGAGGTGGCTCGTGGCGCAACCCCCAGGGACGATTCACAGTTTCGAGGAGCTGGCAGATCGCTTCATGAGCCACTACGCCGCCAACATCAAGCCACAGAAGGACCTGACGCACTTAGGCGACATCCACCAGGACGAGGGCGAGTCCTTAAAAACCTATTTAGCCCGCTGGCAAAAGGAGATCCAGTCGATAGAGGAAGTGGAGGACCAAACGGCACTCACTTTCTTCATCGAGTCTTTGCGGTCCGGCCAGTTGTACCGAGACCTAAGGGACAATCGCCCGGCAACGTACGCGGAAGCTATCCAGATGGCCAACAAGAGAGCCAACACGGAGCATGCCATGAAGCATAAACGACAACGCGAGGTCGGCGGGTCCGCCAGCGGGAAAAGGACGCGGGCCGAGACGAAGGAAAGGCGTTCGGATGTGGCCCGGCGACCCGAAGTTAGGCGACCGTACGACCGCCCCATCGTCTGCGCCTATCGACCGGTTCCGGAGCGGCCGGTCCACGAAATACAAGCAGTTGCCCCACCTCCGCCTCCACCGATCGACGACCGCGTAACAAGTACGGAGACTGGTAAGGCTTCTAAGTACTGTCGTTATCATAAATCTTATACTCACAGCACGGAAGAATGCTTCTATCTAAAGAAGATCGTGGAGGGGATTATCCAACAAGGGACCCCGCCCCCTAATCAATGGAGGCGAAGCTCGGCCAGTCGAGGAGATGAGGGACTTGCCGCCGACGCAGAGAACAGCCGAGGTAAGTAGCCGGCTTCCGAAGAGGACAAAGCCCAATGGCGCCAGAAGCCGGTTATCAACATGATAGTCGGCGGACCGGAGGGCGGCGACTCGGCAAACACCCGAAAAGCCTGGGCTCGGCAATTGTATGTCGGGATGGTCTACGGTCGCGAAGAGAGCACCAAAAAGGTATGCCGAGAACCCATCATGTTCACCGATAGGGACCTGCCAGCCGGAGAGACCCCGCATCGAGATGCGTTGGTCATTGCTATGGACATCAATGGTGTAGTCGTTCGCCGAATCCTGGTAGACACCGGGAGTAGCGTCAATGTGCTATACCTGGAAACCTTCATCAAAATGGGGCTAACCCGAGAGCAGCTGAATCCTGTCAAAACCCCTCTCGCCGGCTTCACCGGGGACTCGGTGGAGGCAGAAGGGTCGATCACCCTTCCCGTAGAGATTGGCAGTTACCCGGATGTACAGAAGTTAAGCATGAAGTTTATCGTGGTAAATCTGGCCTGCTCACATAACGCCATACTCGGCCGTCCGGGTTTGGAGGACCTCGGAGCCCTAATCTCGATCGAACACCTGTGCTTGAAGTTTCGCACGCCGAACGGAATAGGAACGGTACGTTGCGATCGCAAGGCCGCCTGCGACTGTTATTTACAAGCATGTAGAGGGATGGGCAAACGTGAGATGCAGGTCCACGAGATTACCGAGAGGCCCCCTAGGAAAACGGTGATACCTCGCCCCGAGCCGGCCGTCGAGCTAGAGGAAGTCGAGATTGACCCCGCACAGCCTAGTAGGCGGGTGAGAATTGGGGTCGGCCTTCCTGAGAAACTAAGGGGGGAAATCGTGAGAATGCTCCAGGAACATCGATTGGTTTTCGCCTGGGGCCCGGAGGATATGCCCGGCGTCGATCGGTCGGTTATATCACACCGACTCGCCGTGGATCCGGAGCACCGACCGGTCGTACAGAAGAAACGATACCTGGCCAACGACCGAAGGGAATTCGTGAAGAAGGAAGTTAGCACGCTACTAGCGGTCGGGCACGTCCGCGAGGTTAAGTACCCGGAGTGGTTGGCAAATGTGGTCCTCGTACCCAAGCCCCCGGCGTGGCGAATGTGCGTGGATTACACCGATCTTAATAAGGCTTGCCCGAAAGACCCGTTTCCCCTACCTCGGATCGACCAGTTAGTCGACGAGACGGCCGGGTCGGCACTACTGAGTTTCATGGACGCCTTCAGAGGGTATCACCAAATATTTATGCACCCGGCGGATGAGGAGAAGACCGCCTTCCTGACACCGGACGGAGTTTATTGTTACCGAGTCATGCCCTTCGGACTTAAAAATGCCGGGGCTACGTACACCCGAATGGTCGCCCGGCTGTTCCAACACCTGCTTGGGAAATCGATGGCCGCGTACGTCGACGATATGCTCGTCAAGAGCCGGGAGGAGGACAAGCATGCGGAGGACTTGGCCGACTGCTTCAAGGTAATGATAAAATACAACCTTCGGCTGAACCCCAAAAAGTGTGCGTTCGCCGTCCAAGGTGGAAAATTCTTGGGCTACATGGTCACCAAACGAGGCATTGAGCCTAATCCGGAGAAAGTACAGGCCATCATCGACATGCAGCCTCCTACCACCGTCAAGGACCTACAACGATTGACTGGTCGGTTGGCCGCCCTTAGCCGCTTCCTGAGCAAAGCGGCAGATAAGACCGTGCCTTTCTTCGAAGCCATGAAGAAGAAGGAGGGATTCGCTTGGACTGCCGAATGCCAACAATCGTTCGAGGAGTTGAAACAGTAACTTTCAACGCCCCCAGTGCTGTCTACCCCCCAGGAGGGCGAGCCCTTATTCTTGTATCTCGCCGCCTCGGCCAAAGCAGTGAGTTCGGTATTGGTCCGAGAGGAGGACCGAGTCCAGCACCCGGTTTATTACGTAAGTCGCTCGCTGAAGGCCGCTGAGACGCGGTACACCGCTCTGGAAAAGATTGTGTATGCATTGGTAGTCACCGTGCGCAAGCTGGCGCCTTATTTCCAAGCCCATACCGTCCGAGTCCTGACAGACCAGCCGCTCGGGAGTGTGCTAAGAAACCCCTTGTCCTCCGGCCGACTTGTAAAATGGGCCGTAGAGTTGACTCAGTATGGGATTGAATACCAACCCCGGCCTTCCATTAAAGGTCAAGCCTTGACCGACTTCCTGGTCGAATGTACAGCAAGTAAGGAAGAAAAGGAACGCGC